GCATTGTAGTGAGACAACTTTATGGAACTTTTATCTAGTATGTACGTTTCTTTCTAATGTTTTTGTCCCTCAAACCACTAACAAAGCATTATTGAATGTATTCTTGCAGTGTGATTTGATGGTATAATTACTAGTAGTTAATGATATTATTTGTGCGTAGTTTAATCTGTATCACTTTTATGAATGTCTAGTTGTAATGAGGCCTCTTGGCTAATTAAATTCAATGGGAACCTAATGTTGCAGTATTCGGACGAAAACATCCAAAATCCACCAACGAGTGTTTTGCAACTCATCGCCAGATAGATTTGCATAATCAGTTGTAGGACTTGATTCTGCATACGCCAACAGTGGAAGGTAAGTTCAGTTATTCACATATAACCAAGCAGATATTCTTTGTTCCAGATTCTGATACCGGATACCTTTGGATTTTGGGGTATGGTTCTATTTGCTGGAACTGAGAAATAATTTAAACGTCACACAAACTGGATATTGGATAGTTTTCGTCGAATAATGGGAGATACTTCCCAAACGAAGACTTCCATCTCGGACTGTGCTCAGCCAATGTATGTAAATAAACTTATTTGCGCTGAGTTGGAATAAAACTTTCTCTCTAATATTCTTGTGTTTTATTGGCTATTCTTGTGGTGGGAGTACGCATGCTAGACCGGTACTCTCTAAGATATGAACTTGGTACTCTACGTAAGTGTAATTCTGCACAAACACTATCGATTATTATAGGTGATGACATATAAGGATGTTAGTCAGGCCCAAATATCTGCCTAAAGTCACACGATTACGTCTCTTAGCTCTAGGTGAATCTGTTGGAGCCAATAAAAAACCAAACCTATGTATTCGAAATATAAGAATAGAAGTTGGGCACTGTAGTAGAGTCTGATTTCGCCATAGATTTGGTGTATTCAGAAATAGTACATTACCATTACTTCAGTTAAAGCGTTATGTCAATCCATATGATTACGGGTGTTAGCGTATAATGCAAAATGTAGTGTATATGAGAAGAATAATTGAGTAGGTGGAACTGTGGCAATCGCAGCACTATTTCACTTGTATTGAGTTATGGCATCAGTCACCTTTTCAGGTCTCACTAATAAGTCAAGCCTCCATCTGGTAATGATTACAAATTTATTTTCACCCATACAGAATATGAACAGTGAAGTAAGCAGGACGTGAGGTGTATTTAATGCAAAATAATAACAAGCAAATGTCTGCGTAGAATTGTTTGTAGAAACTATTTCAGCGGTGTTGAACTGCTGTGAACAGGTTGAATGACTACCGGAATGAAGTGCATTGTCGGATCCGTTGCAGCTGGCAAGTAATACATAAGTTAAACACTTTATATATGCTCACCTTTTTTGACAAAGGTCCATTCCCCTTTCTCATTCTCTGGCCATAACAGCATTGTTCAGTGGTTTTGACTGTCACATACATCGTTTCTCTTGTCGAGTAAAGGATTAAGCAAATGACGAATTCATGTTTTGGCGTCATTCTGAGCTTTGAAAGATGGTTCACACATCTAAAAGATAGTAACTATAGAAACTGGAGTAACACTTGTTTCCATCTGTTCAAGATATTCCTTCTGATAAAGTTTTTATCAGCAATTCGCAGTATCCCTATTGATTTGATAGGAAGCTTGATCTTGCGTTCATTTTCACCAACTGTCCCTTCACGGATGATAACATGCGAAAACTGCTTATGCTTCAACATTTTAACCTCAACATCAAAAGTCCCTGCAGGAAACTTGTTTAATAACAAATGTTTAAAAATGAGCCATAAGTGCAAACGCCATACCCAACATAACCAAAGATGATTCCCGAAGGAGTTCCGAATAATGTCAGTAAACTGTTTGAGCACTGTTGAATAGATCATACAAATTATAATTATATTTCAATAGTTTACACCCAATGATAAGTTTTTGTTTTTTGGTAATATTTTGAGCAAAAATACTGCCCGTGACCATACCAACTGTTGGAATTGTTTTGTTTTTTAAATTCACACATTTATGATTTGTACTCAAATATATGAATCTTTTTTGTTGATTCATTTTGTGTATTCAGAGTTATATTCCGGGTTGTTGACAGTTGTACTGAGTCACCCTTGTTACATGTACCCGGTGTGACCTTGACGAATATAGATTCTGTCATAAGTTTCTCTTTCCATTTGTTCATATTAGTTTTCAGAATACACTGTTCTAATCAATTTTGTGGTTTTCGTCCCATGCATGTGCAGCTATGGACGAATATTTTCTAGATTGTTGTACGCTTGTCTTCCTATTGGTCGACCTCTAGTTGAGCACTTATGTTCATTCACTCATTTTCAGTGATCTGGACATTTGACCCACTATACACAAAATATTTTGTAAATTACATTGTTTTTATCCATCATTTTTATGGAATCTTTCAGTTGATTTGTCTTATATTTAATTAGATCCGACAGTTTAAACTCGGCCCGAATCCCCATAACTTTGAGGTTTCTTCAAATTGCCTGTGATGTAACATTTTCGTAAGGTATTGTGATTGCCTTTTTGTCTCCCCCCTTGTTGTTCTCTGGTTTTACCCTACTTTTTCCCTTTTTATATTGTCTTTGACAAATTCTTCTGGGTAGTTCTTGTCGAGTAACATTTTGAATAGGACCTTTATTTCTTTACACTAGCCATCTGATGTTGCTGCAAGTCTACGTTTGAAATAATGCCAAAATCATGTAACATTCTTAGGATATATGACAAGATAAAATTGCATAAAGAAGGATAGCGATAAGATCAATTGTAGATTTTAGAAAAACACGGAAGTGTCAAGATTTCTCTCAACAATGCTAAGACCAAAAGAGACAATTCAAAAGCTGGAATGGCAGATTAATTTGCATAGACAAAGAGGAAATACTAGTCAGCTTTCGTGTGAATAGTCTCTATGCTAAAATACCCATTCAAATGGCCATGAATACACTGAAAACGAGACTAAAGATGATGACCTAAAAGAAAGGAGACAGTTATCATTAGAACAGGTTATTAAAGGGGATGAATTCTGTCTGACAACAACATATTTTAAGTTTGAAGGAAAAATATGCCAACAGAATGAAGGAGTAGCCACGGGATCGCTCATCTCACCAATAAAACTGACATATTCGTGGATTTTTCGGAAGAGGAAGCAATTAATCCATTCACGTCATCAATAAAATGTTGGTGGAGATATGTAGACGATACGTTGGTGATATTGAAAAAGGACAATTTTGAGAAATTCTCATAAATAAACGGAAGATTCTGTCCGCAAGACCTTGTATTAATCCTCATTTTACTGCAAGTGGATGAGCTGAGTGATAACCAAGGTATCTTCCAGAACACAAGCTTACATTAATCTAGAAAAAATTCGTCCATAGCTGCATATGCATGGGACGAAAACCACAAAATTGATTAGAACAGTGTATTCTGAAAACTAATATGAACAAATGGAAAGGGAAACTTATAACAGAATCTATATCCATTAAGGTCACACCGGATACATGTAACAAGGGTGACTCAGTACAACTGTCAACAACCCGGAATATAACTCTGAATGAATCAACAAAAAAGATCCATATATTTGAGTACAAATCATAAATGTGTGAATTAAAAAACTAATGGTTGGATGCAGCTGCACTCTACTTTTTGACAGAAAATTAATACTAGTTGCAATCAGTGTTGCATTTCAGAAGGCTCATGCCTAGTACTCTTCTCGTCCCAATGCACACTGATATCAAGATGAGCTGACGTCATTCGATGCAGTAAGCAGTTGAGGTTTCCAAAAATTTTACTTGAGAATGTAAATTCCACTGTCATCGCATCTTTAGCTGAACGATCTTAACCATGTATTACATCAAAATGGAAATAATCACCGCAAGCTTCAGCCGCTTGTATCATTTGTCATTTGATTTCTTCAGCTTTTCATGGACAATTCCATCCATCACAGATGAAAATCTAACCTATATTTTTGGGCTTATTCTCTGCCAAAAGCTTGAATCTCATAGAATATCTGCTGTGACATTAACCATTGCCTGTAGCCAATCTACAACCTGAAAGTCTAAAACCACTCACATGTATCAAACCTTTAAGGCTCTCAAACAAAAAGAAATTCATTTCTATGCATAATTTCTTTAGGTGCATGTCTTTCTTCTTAACAATTCACTTGGGATGTCAAGACAGTTTTACTCATCATTGTAAACATAATGCAAGAAAATATGGCTTTTTTTACCACAGAAACCTGAAACTGATAATGTTTGCCCCATTTTTACAAAGATAGGCACTTATAATGCCTCTGTGCGCATGAACACAATAACTCATACAATGGGCGAAAATACATCGCGATAGCCTTTATCCTCGCCCCTGTTTTTGAACATAAATACAGAAGACTGAGAAAGAACGACCTAGCATTTGTTTAATTTAGAGTCCTTCTTGAGTTGCAGGTATATGCATTTAGCTTTATTCGAGCATATTCTCCTGGTACTGTTTGAATCATATAGGTGGTGAATAAACAACCCTTGTATCGGGACCGTAATCGCGTGAAGTCAAGTTAATTCAGTTCAAGGCCCAACTTCTGAGTGTTACTTCTTAGGGTGACCATCAGGTTAAGCCATAGCAAACAGTGAAATGTGTGAGCATAAGAGATAGAGATAGTGTAGGTGATGATGTCACCACTTAATCAGTTTTAAAGGGGTTTCCATGTGTCATTTTAAGTTTTGAGTCTCTGCCCTTGGAACGACTTTGTAGGCCGTTTGTGAATCCCTTACTCTCAGTGAGGGTTCGAGTCTCGACGTGCAAATTATTTGTTTGATCAGTAATTACTTTTCTGAGCAACGGTCACGAAGATTTACAACCTGAAATTTAATCAACTTCCATTAGTGCTATGATAAAATTCAGAAAGAACTCACTGCAGGTATAAGTCACCACATCTGTTCAAACCAATGCACTTAGGATGATGTGAAGTGTTTCGCAATATATCTGCTTGTTGAGTTAACTCAAACCGTAGACATAGGATCGATATTGGATATTGAAAGTTTGAGTGTGAAATACGTACACAGCGTTACATAAAATGGTTTTCGTAAGTTGTTGTCTTAATCACTATTCTTTTATTAAGTTTCAACGTATCGATAGTTCATCTCCATTCACAACCTCGTACAGGTGTTATCCAGTGTCTTTTCTGGCTGACAACTTCCGATCCAGCGTCGAAAAGGGTGGAAAAAGTAAGATGCTGTTTGCCTGTGATAATATCTTCAGTTATTATGCCTCCATCTGCTTTGGATGTGTTAAGTAGGTGTTGAATTCAATTAAAAATTTTCAGCACGTCTTAATGTTCAATACCCAATGCTTTTCAAATTGACTAATCAACAAGCTAACCGTACCACCCACTGTGGCGTCCTGGAATTTGTGGCAGATGAGGGCAGAATATACGTTCCTTACTGGGTAGGTTTTCGGCATTTATGTTATACTTCAGATGCTTAAAAACCTCTGCCTAGAGGAGGGTGGGTTGGTTTCTGTCGTTAATGCCTCTCTCCCCGTTGCCTCTTTCGCTCGTTTTCAACCACAGAGCAGTGATTTTCTTGACATTTCAAACCCAAAGGCTGTGTAAATTCGTTTAAAATTGTAATTCCTTTTTTTAGACTTGAAAACGCTTTGCGTGATTTCGCTTGCCTCACTGTTGGCGACATCATTGCAATTAATTATAATGAACGAATATATGAGCTCAAAGTTTTGGAAACCAAACCGAAAGACGCAGTCACTATTATTGAGTGTGACATGAGTGTAATGATCTTACTTACATAATAATTCCTGCAGGTTGATTTTGCACCCCCAGTAGGATACCAGGCGGCTGATTCTGATTCCTCAGATAAACGAGCTGAAAAGGACGCAAATAAGGTATACACTCAATTTTTTTACGTTCGTCATTCAATGTGTTATTCTTAATTACTGATGCAAAAGTGAAAGCTAATAGTCCTTATATAGTGTATATTTAAGTCGATTTCGTTAACTAATTTTTTACTTGACGTATATATATATATATGCTGTACTTTTATTTCGCTTCATCGTACTGTTATGTGAACTTGGTTTTGATTTTAAGTTTTAAGACTAATTAATTTCACCGATGTAGTAGAAACGAAAAGAATTGACAGGTGAATAAATGAGTTTGTCCTGTCTACTACGTTTGGTATTAGTGACAGTTTTCTGGGTACACTGTTTCCAACTTATTTTTATTTTTAGGTAAGGTTGGTTCCGTAGTTAAGTAACAAGAAGATATGGACGTGAAAAAGCTAGGATATGAGTCTCGTCAACTTTTATTGATTTCGCGTGGACATCAGGTGGCGTCCGCTGTCTCTGAAGTATAAATAGATGTTAATAGTTTGTACGAAACCCATGCCTTGTTGAAAAGCAGTAATCGAACCAGATACCATTCGTTTAGAAAATGGGGTCGCTCCTTGAGTCAAGTCATGCTCAGTTTATAGAAGATATCAGGTGGTATGGTTAAACCCTTAGAAACAGTCGACCGATGGCTTAGTATGCCTGTGCACACTGTCGCTCAGTTACGTTGATATTTCTTTAGAGAAAATCGAGTATGTCTGCAAGTAACCATTAGGAAACATTAGTGTATAACATTAAGTGAAATAATATCCGAGACTATAGCGTTCAGTTATATGGTGTCTCAACTATTGATTCTTGAGTTTGAGGCCAATTTGGCTACAATGCTGTATTGGAAAAAGGCATTTCGACTGTCTTTAAAAATTTGATCAATGTTTTTATTCCACCTCTATGTGTTGTCAGTTCACAGTTGTTCGTATTGCTTGAAGTATTATTGAACTTAGATCCCTTTATTTCTGCCTTCCGTTACAATTTCACTGAGCATTCCGATAAATTCCTCACCAGTATTTACATATGTACAACAAGTCATGTGTTGACACTGTTCGCTATTCAACTTGCAAATCTAAGCAGTTGATAATTCTTCATCAGCATACTTTACATGATGCACGTATTTGTCCTGTATCTGCACGCCTTATCGGAATTGGTTCTCTCTGATGTACAAAGAAAAAAAATGTCACATAGAGTTGTATACACATATATGTGTTCATTCTTATTCGACTAATTCACATAAATTCCTTTCTAGATTGAGGAAGATCCGATAGAAATTCCTTCAATAGCCCAAGGATTCCAGGTAATGTAATCTAAATTTTTACCATCACTTGTGGCTTTTCATTATACTATTTATTAAAATTTAATCAGTTATTGTAAAGTCTTAAAACTATTAGAAGACTGAACTTTACACATAGGTGCGTTTGTTGAAGTTACCTCGCTTAGGAAAAGGAAACAAATGTAATGAAACTACAGTGGATGAAGATGTGGGAAAAAGTAACAATTGAATGAAGATCAGTCGAGGAGTTTCGGAAATAGTATTATGACAAGGACTGACTACGTTTTGAGCTACATCAGTAACAGTCTCCAATCATTACTTCCAGTCTCACAAATTGTCATGATTTGTTCAACAATTTCTGTATTTCTTTAATGTTTGAATAGCCGTTTTTATTGACTCGTCTACATTTGTAATAGACTGCCATAGCATGTGTATTAAAGAATGTGCCATCTGAAATAATATGATGACATGAGTTTAAGCAAAGAAAGGGAAAGATAAATGAAAAAAGTTAATACATTCAAGAATCATGTGTCACCTTATTCTCATCTCATAATCAAAACTTTTACTTTCTTCGTTAGCTTTTGTTACTGAATTCACTCATAGTACGAGGACGTTGCTTTTTGACCACTTAACTCTAGTAGCCATTTCATGTAAAACAGGAGTAGTTTGTCATGCTTCTCTAGTGAAGTTTGTTTGGTTGAATGCATCAAATTTTGATGAATTGTCATAATTTCCCCCAATATCGCTATAGTTTCGGAGAAACAAGTGACTTCGTAAAAGTAAATGATACCTACAGCTGTTTAGTTTGATCGTGGATTAATATATTAATCAAGAAGAATCAATAAATGCCATTTTTGTATTTGTACAATTCAATTAGTTTAGTTGGTTTATCTATAAATAAATTATTATTTTCATTAATTAAAGTGATTTCTTAGATTATTGATTCAATGTTATATTTATAGGCATTTAGTGGTGCTGGTTATCGATTAGATGGAAAAAATAAAGCAGATAAAACTAACGAACCAGGTAGTGGTCCATCGTCAGGACAGTCAAAACAGAGGGAGAGGTAAGTGATATGTTTTCGTTTGTTTCTCTATATCTTCTTGTTAATCATTTGTTATGCCAGTTCTTTTCTGCTGAAAGTCACCATATATCTTGAATTGGTAGGAAGTTATATCACTGTATAAGTACATATTGGTATTTGTTGCCACACTTATCACAATGACATTTGTAATAATTTGATTGTTTTCAAAGTCTTGCATTTGTAGTTCACTTGTCGTTCTGTGGAGACCTCCTCCATATTCTCACTGTTCATTCAAACATTTTTCTTTTCATTTCGTACTTCAACCGGTGCAGTTAAGGTAATGCAAATCTATAAGCGGGACTAAAATGAAAAGGTTAAGATTGACTGACTGAACTAACTGGTTTCAACGTAGAAATTTGCACTGATGTGCAGCAGTTTGAGTCGCCACACTTCACTCAGCACACAAAGCAAGAGAACAAAGTAAAAAGAGATTCAAAACAGAGATAATCAACAGAAATGAGAGGCAAAAAGAATAGTGATATGGAAGAACAATATAGTTTTATGGGATATTATAAGTCACAAGGAGTGGATGCATCTGCGCCGTCCACTGACAACGATTTTGAGCCATATCACTAATTGTCTCCAGCCATTGGTTTTTACCGTCCCGAGGACCCCAACCAAGGAAGTCTACACCTTCCTACGTGGCTGGCTTAAACTAACTGTTGTGGATTTCATTGACTGGTGAAGCCATGTTTTGGTGTGACCACTACTGGCTCTTTTACAACTTGATCCTATGTCAGCTAACATTGCCCATTGTCTAGGAAGGCGATGGCTAGGTGTGCGTAACACATGTCCTAAACATCTCAATCGATGTAACTTCATAACCTTGTCGATTGATTTCCCCTCCTTACCTAGCACTCGACTGATGCCTAACCTCAATATTGCTCAACTTATTATACCACTTCACACGGGAGATAGAACGCAGGCACCTATAATCAAAGACAGCTAGCCTTTTCATGTCTTCCACTTTCAATGGTCATATCTTGCTCACAGCCATAAAGGAGAAAGGTTAAGATTAGATTAACGTCAGGTACTAACATCTAACCAAATCAAAACTGGGATATATATGGTTTTGCATTTATCGAATATCTGTTGGGGTTGAAAACTGATGACTTACAGATTTTAACCTTACAAGTTTAAACGTAATCTACAGTGTAAAACATTCACCTCAGTTGTCGAGATTGTTTACTAACTAGTGAATCTAAAATATTCGGAGTTTCCACTTGACTGTTTGACTGACGTCATTTAATGAAAAAAGTACTTGTGAGACTGCAGGTATTCACTTCTCCTGTAACTCTACCTCAAATACTATCTGTGACAAAATCAATGTCCGTACAACTTGTGTTTAAATGGCTGGTTTTCCTCATATTTAGCTACAATTAAGTCAACCAAAATTTACGGATTGAAAATGAGGCTGTACTGAGTCTTTCTCTATTTTGGAAATTCGACTTTTAACCTTTAATTTAGTACATTATCTTTGATTAAGTGTAAATGTCGATTTCTTTCCAGTCTTACTTAGCTATATCATTTGTCAAATTCCATGCTTCATGTTTTTGATATCTAATTAAATGAGCTTAGCTCACAGTACTTTTCCTTTTCATATTTCATTTGTTTTTTATCACTTATAACGACTTATATAGTCTTATGATTTGTGTGCCTTACTATCTTGTTGCCACCCTTGCTTCCCACTTTCCTTTTTTTCCAAGAAAATTCTATTGCATGGCATAATTTCACTAGTATTTTTCTATTTAACTAATTTAACATTTCGATTCTTGATATTACATATTCACGTAGTTATTGTTCGATATATTTCCTCCAATGAACTAACATATGTCAAGACTGCAATAAAACTATTAACTGTCATTATTGAGGTCGTAAGCAGTCGACAAGATACTGGGGAAATAAAAATGGACACGTTTTACCGTGCTACGTGTGTTGTTGTTATCTCTTTGTTCCCACTCACTAAGAGGGATTTGTGTATCAATCGGTGAACAATGAATTTACAAGGTGTTCAACTAAAACAACATCAGCATTCAGCTTGCTTTAAGGTTTCGTAACTGTAACTAGGCGAAGTTAGACTTAAGCCATCGAAGAGGCGTGAGCGCACCAATGGACTTGAAACAGCCAGTCAGCAACTTAGTGAAACAGTAAATGACATTATATTCATGAAAAAATACGCTTAAGAAGTGTGATATTAAACGGAATATCTAGTTAGTTAAAAGGTCAGGTTTTGGATAGATTAAGGTCATGTTTAGACTAGGGACACTAACCAGGCAGATATTAGGGTTTGTTTGAAGTAGATGGCGGTTAGGGTGAGGTTAAAGGAAGATTGGTGTTAGGGTTATTATTGTTATTGTTTCCTTTAGCTCCTAGAGGAACATAGGGCTTCAGCCGCACATCTACATTGCGTTCGGTTCCCTGCCAACGTTTTCACCTGGTCCCACGTCTGCCCACATGCTTTCATCTCCTCTTCGCATGACCTCCTCCATGTTACCCTCTCACTGACGACCGACTCGCCGCTTCCCATTCCGGTTCCACTCGAGCGATGACCTGGCGTGTGATGTCACTTGATGGTTTGTTTCCTCAGGGTATGGCCGATCCACCTCCATTTCTTCCTGCATATTTGTTGCACAATTGGTTCCTGGTTGATTCGTTCCCAGAAATCTCTGTTTCTAAACTTTTCTGGCCATCTGATCTTGAGTATTGAGCGAAGACAGCTGTTGATGATGCTCTGTAGTTTGTTCGAAGTGCCCTTCGTTAGGCGCCAAGTCTCTGATCCGTATAGTAGCACTGACTTCACATTGGAGTTGATAATCCGGATCTTATTTTTCATGCTGAGTGCTGTTGATCTCTACACAGACTTGAGAGTAATGAAAACTTTCCTTGCTTTCCCAATTCTCGCTTTGATATCCTCATCAGTTCCGTCCGCATGTAGTTGAAACGGTGCTTCCCAGGTAGGTAGGTTAAGGAGATTGCTTCTTTCAGATTTCTCCCATTTATGCTGATTGTTGTCTTTGTTGTTGCTATTGCTGTTGGCCAGGAATCTTCATCACCTCTATTTTCTCTATGTTCACCTGAAGTCCTATCTTCGATGTTAGGGTTAGAAGACTAAATTTACCTTTCAGCACTATGGCTGCTTCCAAGGTCATTGATGCGTCCTGTGCCTCTTCGGTGCTTTAACTTCGCCCTAAACTAAAATACGTTTTCATTACATAAATTATTTCAACTTTCAAAATTGCCTATCAGTGATATAAGATAAAACCAGTATAATTTATTGACAAAAGTTTTGTTTTCCATAAAGTCCTCAGAGAGAGTGGAGATCTCATGTTTGACCTTTTAGATTGTATAATTACTTATGGCATACTGATTCCCTTCCATCTTCTTTGGAGTGGGGGAGAGAGTTCTCTTGTGAAAAAGCAGTGTCATTATTTAAAAAGCACTTACGTGTCACACTATACTGCAGATATCTTTGCAATATTTGTATTATGAATATCACTATAAAATTGCTATCCATCGTTTCATTTGTTCACTACTTTTCATTGATGAGATTTCACAGTTCTTGGAATAAATGTTTTTTTAAGAAAATAGGTGTACAACTTCCATCCTGTTTAGAGTGACTTACCTTACTCATAATGTATACTTTGAAATGTTTATTTATTCTACTGAATCAGTGTGATCTGAGAATAAGATTTATGCACGCAACGTTAGAAGTTATTTTCTATTTTTAAAGTTATTTTACACACATGCACATAACAGAAGTATTAGAATGAAAAAAAGGCATGGACACAAATAATGATACCAGTTCGAATCTTACCTGTTGCAAATTCCAGGTCATTTGACGACTATTTTTATCCACTAATCACCTTATCATGTCTCTTTTTTTGGTCGCCTTTATATAATGTACATTTACTGACTTGCTTATAATTCTAATTTGACATCAGACATTGAATGTCTGACACAAAGAGCGTGTGTAATACGTAGCAATCTGCCCGTGAAACACGGTCACAAAAAGTGGGAAGTGTGAAACGGTTAGCTGCCTTTGAAAATTACAGATATTTGCTTTCTTATATGGTGAATAATACCAAGATTTAGCGTAGAGTCGTAGGTAAGGAAGGAGAGTCAATCGACGAATCGTGAAGTGATATAGATTGAGATGGCTAGGATGCCTGTCACACATACCGAGCTACCGCTTTCCTTGTCGTGCGATGCTGGTTGACATAGGATTAGGTTGGAAAAGAGATAGTGGTAGCGAATCCATGTAGGCCTTGACAGTTGTTTTGAGCCATATAGTGAAGTATAGACTGCCTGGTTTGAGTCCTAGGGATACTAGGAACCAATGGCTTGAGACTGCTGATGATATAGCTCAAAACCGTTCTCAATGGTGCAGATACACACACTCTTTATAGTCTCTCAGATCCATTAAATTATCATGTTTTTTTCATGTTTCTGTTCTCTCTGTCGTACTTTTTTGCCCATTGTAGTTCTTCTGAATTTCTTTTCATATTCTCTTTGTTTACTATATATAAGTGTAGCAACTTGAACTGATACATTTCTGAGCAAACTTCTATATTGAAACTCAGTCAGTCAATGTGCGTCGGTGACACAGTGGTTAGGACTCTCGCCGACCATGCACATGGTCCGAGGTTCGAGCCCCTGCCGGCGCCCGGAATGGACGTTCAAAACTTAATGTGACACTTTCTACAATTTTCTAAGTTGTACAAATTAAGAAAACACTAAGTGGTGAAAATATTTTCAAGTAGTCTTCCCCTTCTATTATCAAAGTTCATTAGAGTATAAGTTTGTTAGTTCAACTTAATTATTTAGTATATGTACATATACCTTTAATAATTTCAATTCCTGATTTTTTGATAAATCACATTATACTTAATAATTTCAATTCTTTTTTGTTTCTACAGAGGCGTACCAAACTATAATTATCAACCTGGAAGTTTAACATTCTTTAGAAATTTAAAGAATCTGTCTGCTCAGGTAAATACATTTTCACATCTTTTTTGTTCATCTTTCAAAAGTTTATATAATCTGGTTGAAAAGAAACTTGGTAACCTTCCTACACATTAAATATAATGTATTGGTTTCAGTAGGTGGTGGTCTATCTACAAATAATAGTACTGTGATTTCGTTTCAATACGAAAATGCATTAAAAACTCGACTTGAAGACTGAATCTCAAATGCTTTGGCCCCCTTTCCTGAGGCGATGAGAACTATTCACTCTAATAGACAAAAATGTATTATATTTATACATTATTAATATTGGGAAAGTGAAATCAGTTAGATAACTAATTTGATTAATTGCATAAGGTCGGGCATCTGATTGTCCAGTCACAATTTAATAAATCTTTTGCCTCAGTCAAGGGGTTTAATTTGTCGATCCCGGTTTAAACCGGTTTTAGTCTACAAAATGTGATTATTTCTAAGTTAGGCGAAATTGGGAGTATATAACAGTAAAGGATTTCAGTGTTTATCAAATTTATTTCCACATTCTTTAAAGAAAACATCAGTAGCGGTTCAGTGGTAGAATGCACGCTAACAACTTACTTGATCCGGGTTCTATTCATGGCCGACTCACTCCTAACCGGTAGTAAACTCGGTAAAGAGGGAAGGTTAAGCATAAGGTTAGCGGCTTCATCCCGTAAAAACACCACCGCTACTAAAACTTGAAAGATCAAGCCTCACTCCAGAGCACGAAGGGATGAAAAGAAATAATTACGTACATGTACGTGCACATAGAAATGAACTACATTTATCAATCCGAGGACTGATAATCCTACCTTAATGCCTAAATTTTTATGTTCCAAGTGAAATTCAAATTCATATTATACTGGCGACGAAAGTCAAGTACTCAGAACCCTTAACTACTTTTCCCCCAATAGATTTCTTTAGGCAGTTTGTGTTATGGCGAAATATACCCATTAGTTCATAAGGATGAACACAGTTACTGTTCAGCGAAGAAATATCTCTTTTCACCGAATTCGTTTTCAAGCTGTACAGTTGTACTTATATTAAGGAAAAAGACATTAAGTGACACTTGAAATTACTCACTTAATATACATATGATAAGAACAAGGATAATTAAACTGATGTATTAAGGGGGTAGAGTTAGAGTGGATGAATTACAAAACTTAAAGATTATTAAATAAATAAACTGGTATACAGATTTTAGAATTGTAAGTCAAGTGTTGTCTAGAAAATTAACACTGTGATGATGATAACAGTAAAGACGACGAAGACGAAGTGAAGTGGAATGATGTTATGCATAGTGTTATATGGTTTTCCACTGCGTGTTTAAAAGGATACTGAAATCATCATGAATGTTGTATGTTGCTATTTTCAAGGTGTCTTATTGATTTTTTACACAACTGGAATATCTATCGCACCGTTTGTTATACAGTATGCGCAAAAGCACCGCATCTAATTTCTTCTGTAAACAGTTTTAAAATGATATCCTAAATTGCACATTTTATCCTTTGTATATGTAAGCGTTTGTGACGTTATTTGGCTGTCTATCATGAGGTAAACTGACTGAGTTTTAGAATTTGAACTAGTTAGTTGCCCGCGTCAAGTGCCCAAGTTGTTAAGATACACTCGAGCACTATCAATGAAATAAGCTTTTCTAGTGTATAAACTTTTTAAAACCTATAAATTGAGCGAAGAAATATTTATTTTTCAATTAGATCCTAGTTAATGGCCCTACACTTAATATATTCATATATGTATATAATTGTGAAGTCAACATTTTGCTCAACTAGGTGTATTATAAATGTTTCAGCTGCGAATTCAAATTCATTAGAGGATGCGAATACGAAAAAATGTACTTGGAAGAGATTCATCTTTTTGATAATTTTAGCTAATAATATAAATAACTTCATGATGTTATTTTGGTGAATGGTGACTAGCAGTAGAATGCAGGATGTGAATTTCGTCCTGATTTGGCACTCGTCAACTGGAGATGCCTACCATCCCCAGTGGGTGATAGTGCTCCCACGGAGACTCGGACCCAGTACCCCCATCGTTTCAAACGCCAAGGCGTTATCCCCATTAAGCCACTGAGACCGATTGCACAAGAGGTGGCTGCTGTTTTGGCTCAGTGGCCTTGTATAAACTCTTGACGTTTGAAACGATGGGTGGTGGGTTTGAATCTCAATGAGAGCACCATAACTCACTGGGGATGGTAGGCATCTCCAGATGACGAGTCCTAAATAGGGTCAAGTGTGCATCCTGTATTCCACTGCTCTTCAACCATCAATCGTATTAATCTCCAGACATCGTTGAAGTGTCCGTATTAAGAGCCGACATGTCAAGAGAGACCTAGCACTTCAGTTCAACATAATTAAATCAATGGGAAATGCAAATTAACTTGAATTAACAGTTTTGAGTAAATGCACAGTTATTAAACCTGCTTATTATTGTTACTATTGTCATCTCTTCTTTACTCAATCTTGACTTATAGTCATTCGTAACGACTCAATAATAGGCTGATCTAATTATTCAGTCCATAGTTGTAATCCTTCATTTGCCTAAATGATGAATGACTGAGCTCTAATTGATTTTCAGCTTAAGCAAATGGTACAGTTTGTGCATTCATATCATCAGTTACTCCTTATTATAGAAATAATCCTTGTATGACATTTCTTTTGAAGGGGAAGACTACTTATCATCAATTTCTGAATTCTATTCCACTTAAGTATGTCTCTGTATGATTTATTTATTTATTTATTAGAAAACTGAAGAATCCGTTTTCAAACCATTCGGTGGTACAGGACATCAATTGAAGTCGAATACTGTTAAATAAATTGAATTATTATTATTAGTAGTATTTGTATTGCTTCTATAATCCTCTTTTTTGTTGCTGTTATTAACCTACTTTTCAGCATTATTTTCATTCACATTACAAAATTTTGTAACTTAATAATAACAATAATAATATAAAAGCCAGAGTATTTGTTTTGGTTTCTTTCTCCTTGTTTTTTTTTCTTTTTGATGTTACACTTTTCTTTGTGATGTGATTATTATTGTATACAGAGTGAATATTAATTTGCTGTCAATTACGTTTTAGTAGTTTTTTTTTCTTTCTTCTTATATGTGTATTAGCAGTAATTCAAATGCTTACTAGTCAGAGTTTGCGATAATGAAAGTATCAGACAACGGTGTGTTTCACTCTTTCTTGGAGTGACTAACTCATTGTCAGTGTACTTAGATTGTTTCAACACACGAGTAATCGAATCGTTTAGTTAGTTGTTGTTAACATGAATTATTGTTCATAAAAGGAACATGTTGAATTTAGTGGAATTCCAATATGTATATTTTCTATTGTGCAGCGAACTAGTCAATAACCTGTTGCCTAACAAATATGCGGAAGGAAATGGGGATGGATTAGACAAATACTGAGGAGGCATTCAGGTGGCACTACACGCCAGACTCTCGAGGGGAACCCAAACGAGAAGCGGCACGTTGGGCATCCGAGTGTAACATAGGGTTCATATATCGAAGAGAAAACGATGAGAGCAGTTGTGGAGACAGATGAAAATGATGGAGCCCTATGTACCACTCGGAACGCAAGAAAGGTTTTACGTAATAATAATTCTTATTATGGTGAATTTGTCATATCCAAGATTGGATGTAGTGGCACGTTCTCTTTGTGCACTTTCGGGAGACCATATGACAGGGGAATTACAGAACCCGAGGGTTGTATTTGCTCAAATAACTCAGAGTTAATAATCGATTCGTTATTCACCTTCTTCAGCATTTGCTTTATCTTCCCTTTGATTTGCTCAGTTTCGCCTTCTGGTTACTTTCTTTTGAAAATTTGTTTTCTTCTGATATGATGGATCATACCACTACCTCCAATCTTGGATATGACAAATTCACCATATCATGAACATATTGATACAACTCGGTAACTGTTCTCCAGAAAAGTTTATAAAAGGTAAAAATAAAGACAAATAAAAGTGGGTGATAGTTGGCAGTTGCAACATTATTCAGCAATAATTCAAAAGGTGTCTAGTGCTTCCACATAAGATAAGATTCTCAATAAAATTAGGATTTCGATGACATTCAAACTCAGAAACCTGCTAGGTTAAAGGGTCCTGTAGTCTCATGTAAGTACAATATCATGTGATAATTGTTAAGTGAAGTGCGTAGATCATGTTTAGCTAGGATATGAGTGAATGAATGGCAGACCACTGAGTCAAAGATGTTATTTTAGTCGGTGGTGACTAACAGTGGAATTCAGGATACACATTTCGTCCTATTTGTGACTCGTCTGCTGCCTGCACTCCAATGAGCGGTTGTGTCCCCATTAGGACTCTAAGGCTGCAACCATCGCTTGAAACATTAAGCTGTAGTGACCCATTTTATTACTCATCATCGTGCTATACCTTCATCATGTAATTGTACTTTGATTTGTTTATCACTCTAAATCTTGCGTGTTAACAATTGATACGTTTGTACTCGCTCAAGTTTTGAATTTTGATTACGGCGAGAATACACATTCCTACACCTTCTCAAGTGTCTTCTGATTTACGTTGTGTGTATCGAGTAAGCACAACGTTAGGACACAATTATAAACGAGAAGAAGTACTAGGATATATGTGTACGCTAGTTTAATCAAAATATAGCAGCCCAACAAAGCACTTCGGTCCCATATAATCAATCAGTGGAAAATTCAATTTAACTTAAACAATAGGAGATTAAAGAAGTCTATAAACCGTCTCAGTTACTACGGAACTTGCGCAAACCTGTAACATCAAGCGAAACAGCATGACAGCCATAAAATTCATTTTGGTAATATGAGAGCAGGAAGTATTTTCTGAGTCTATTGTTATGATCGATTCGTCTCAGAGCAGTTAACCTTTTATTAGTAATGTTTGCATAGGAGCAAATGCTTCAAAATCTTTGTTATCACTTGATGTTATTTGTTGTGGTAACCTAGACGCGCACTTCCTATGTTTCCGGACTTGTCAGCCGGTCACATTCTCATCTGAGTGAGTGATGATGCTATCAGTGAAACAACTAAAAAACAAACAAAGAAAAACACAAGTTCCAGTTGATTTTTATCATTGACTTGTGGTTCAACTGTAAACAGCTCACCAACCACGCACGTGGCCCGTGTTCGATTCCCGGCTGACGCACACATAAACCCCACTCAGCCGGTAGTAAACCCAGTAAAGAGGTAAGGTTGGACATAAAGTTGGCGACTTCACTCCATAAAAAATTAACACCACCGTCACTGAAACTTGAAGCTTTATGTTACACTCGGAAGACGACTTCTGATTCATTCAAATAATATTACATTTCTTTTGGTATTTATAACGGTTTTAATTAATATCTTTTCAACTGATTAAAAATGCCCATTAAAATTTTTTTTCAAAAACCTTGAGGAGAAGAAAGATTTCAATAACATAATAGAGAACGAATTAACCAGACGTTTGAAGAAACTAAGGGAGGAACAGATATTTCCTGAAAGTTTATATGAAGAAATCAGGCCAACGGGCACGTGCATGCCAAGATTGTTTGGCCTACCTAAAGTACATAAACCGGGAATACTGTTAAGACCAATACTTGATAGGCAAAATTCGCCCTACCATGTTCTAGCTAGATGGTTAGTAAATATTCTCAAACCTTTGCATGAGAAGATAGTGAAATATAGCGTCAAAGATGTATTTGAATACGTAGACAAAATCAAAGATATTAATATCAAGGATAAAACTATGATATCTTTTGACATAACATCTTTATTCACAAATGCACCTCTAGTAGAAACGGTTAACTACATATGTGAACAAGTGCATAACCAGTCGATAAATATTGGCATCCCAACGGAAATCCCGAAAGAATTGTTATTAAGGTGTACCATGAATGCAAATTTCAAATTTGATGGCACACTTTACAGACAAATGGATGGGATGGCGATGGGCTCCCCATTGGGTCCCATTTTGGTAGATTTCTTTCTAAGTAAACTAGAAAATGAACTTTTGAACAACCTTATCTGAAAATTCTCATTTTATTGCCGGTATATGGATGACACCTTTATTCTTTGTGATAATGACTCGGATAGGAACACAATAATAACTCAGTTCAATGAAGTACATTCTGCTATGAAATTCGTGTGCGAAGAGGAATCCCAAAATAGGATTAATTGCCTTCCTAGATGTCCTCCTTACAAGAAAAGCAGATGCTGTTATAAAGAGAAATTTGCATATGAAAAGCACATGGACAGGACAATATACACATTTTCACAGCTTCGTTCCTCTCCAGTACAAAAGAAATCTATTAAAGACCTTCAGCTACAGGGTTAGAGCTATATGTTCAGAAAAGGTAATTGAAGAGGAACTAAGGATAAATCTTGATTGAAAATACCTATCCAGAGAAATTCATCAGGAAATCTATGACTAAGAAAGTTGAAAAGGACTATTCACTATCCGTAAACAAGAAGCCTTTATACATACGACTGCAATTCAAGGGCGATATACCTAGCGAAATAATTATGAAGAAGTTAAGAAAATCAGTTCAGAGAACTTTTAATGCTGCCACAATTCAAGTCTTATTTTCTACATGATCGATGGTGAATCCTCAACTGAAAGATGAAGTACCTAGACTAGCCAATTCTAATTGTATCTACTAATTCAACTGCGCTTGTCGGGCGAGTTATATTGGCCGTTGCTCTAGGAAATTGATTTGTCGTACTCGGAAACACCTATCGGTGTGGCTAAGTAAGGGTGTATTAGAAGCCACCGACAGTTCGATATTAGACCATCTAGTCCAAACTGGCCACAAAGTTAGCATTGAAGAATCCTTCTGTATTATCTACCGGGTACCAAATAAATTGCCAAAAACATCCAGGTACCGCATACTCCAAACAGTGGAGGCTATCGCGATTCGCGTGGAACAACCAGTGCTTTGTGTGCAAAAGAAGCAAGTCCAGCCACTACTACTGCCCTGGCCTTCAGTGGAGACTAGAAATCAGTGAATTTTGTATTATCACTATTTTTCGTAATTTCCCTGATATTCATTCAGTTTATTGTTATGTTGATGCTATCGAACTGTAATCCACTGATATTATTATTACTGATTCGATGTCATTTAAACAACATTAATGTTGTTAATAACACGACTTCATTCACTACTAGGTGTATATATAACTGCATAACCTGATGAAGAAGGCGTTATCGAAAAAAATATTCTTTGTTCAGTAACCATTATACTTTTCTTAATGTTTAACTAATTAGTCCCTTCTACTAGCCCACATTTTATGGTTGTAACAGGTGTCAGTGATGAGGGTGAATGGTAAACACATAATATTTCTGGATGTCTCATCATTATTCACAGATGTGCCAGTTATCGAGACACTGGATTTCATATAGCAAACTATTAATGGAAGACAAAGAGAATAACTGAATCCGAGCGTCATAGTACTATACCTCAGATATACAAGAGATGTACACCTTGTCATTCATCGATAATACAACTCATAAACCAGTTTGGTGTGGAAGGGATCTCACTGGGTTCAATAACACATTAAATTCTAGTCAAACATAAAAACATACCACTACAGAATATAACCACGTGCGAAGAAAAACACGCAAGCATATCGAATTTTATTTTTATCCTAACAAGAAAATGAGAATACAGACAGATCACTTTGAAGAAGGTTGGAATAAATACACAAACTTTAGTTGTGTACCTATTCGTTTTAAAATAAATCTGATCAAATGTACCACAAGAAAATCATAAAGGATTTATCTTTAGGATTTTTGATTCCTTCATTAATAAGGGATGCCTGCATAGTTTCATAAATGTAGTGAAATGAATAAATTAGGTGGAAAACCTCAAACAATCAACATCGTTTATTACTTTACTTTACGTTACGGTTTACTGGTTATTTAACAAGTGAATTTCTTTACCTGTGACTAACAAGAACAATTAGATGGATATTTTATTAGTCACATATTATTGTCATTTCTCCAAAGATAAATTTGCAGCACTCTGGATAACTTTGCAACGTTTGAGGAAATTTTGATACTTTGTAGAAAATATCGATATTTTGATT